TTTGTCAAAGTTCACTCGGCCTCAGGCCTCCAAATGCCTCCATCAGCAACAAAACTCAGGTTTCACCGACTGTCTGTGTTTGTATCAAATTATCTCAAGGTGATCTCACCGATGACAAATATACAATCAAGAAATACGGTCATTCTGGGTACAACATAACGTTTCAGTGGTTAAAATTCACGAGGATTGTTGGACTCGAGCGAACAGAACTCCTCATAGGAGGCGTGAGAGAGAGGCGCTGAGTCCCTGTATGCATCACTGGGCACTGGATGGCTAATTAGGAGGAGGACCGTTTCCTGTACTTTTCATTCAGGAACTGAACCAGAGGAAGGAAGAAGAGATCAGATAAGAAGCTGGCTGAGTGTTTTTGTTTGGTTGTGGGCGCTGACCAGCGGCACGCTTCATCTAGCGCCTCCATCCTTAATACTTCTTCCTCTCTTAGCCTCCTCTGGCTCGGCCACTTGCCACTCTGGAAAAACTGAGTGTGTGTGTGTGTGTGTGTGGTGTTTTGAGTGTGCGTCTGTGTCTGTACCTGGAAGCCACACTTGAAATTGGACTTGTTTGTTTTGCTCTGTTTATTTTCGCCTCGGCCGACCCCTTCTCTTCCCCCTCATGGCTCTTCATCTCATCCACATCAACGGTCCAGTTTCTTTTGCCGGTACGAGCCGATGACAATTCACATTACCACGGCAACCGTGAATATCTCGTCTGATTAACATGTCGTTAGATGGAAAAATGAATAAATAAAAAAGGAACAGTTCCACATTTGGGAATTTAGTTATTTGGCTTAGTTGTTCCAAGTTTCAAAGCGGTCGGTTAATTATGAAGGTAGAGCCAAGAAACATTTAGATTAGTTTACCATAAAGACTGAGAGCAGGCGAAACCCACAATATAATCTGTACAAAACAAAACCAAAGCGTTAAAATGATCGGGTGTATTTCAGTTCCCAAGGTCTTTAAAATGTTTTAAATTCAAAATCTTTGTGTTTCGACGGACTTTTTCTTATGTATTTTAATGGAGATCTGTTGCTGGGACACAAATACACACACTTGATGCTGACTGCCGTAGCGTCCAATAGCTTTCTCAACATTAACGTGGGTTCGCGAGCATCATTTTAATAAGAACAAAACAAATTCTGTGATGTAGGGTCAAGATGTCGTTCAACAGGCTTTTTTTTATGCTTTCATGAACTGTCTAACAGGTTTATCACCGCTCACGGATTACAGCTGGATGGAAGCTCCATGGAAACGAAGTTCCTGTAACTGAGAATTGCATACAGCACTGTAAACACCTCACGCTCTCTTTCTTTTGCTCGACCTCTTTACTGTACTCTCTGCGTCTTGGAAGTTAATTGAATCTCTCTTGTTTCCCGACCCCTCCTCAGCTCCGGTCAGAAGGCGAATGACGCACACGGACCCATTTAAAAAGACCACCAGCGCAGGTTTGACCTGCTCCGTCTGAAAGCGCCGCGTGTGACGCGGAGAGAGGGACATTTTTCCCTCCCCGTCTTCCGCCGCGGGGGGGGAAAGTGGAGCTGCGTCTGTGTGCGCGGCCTCAAAACAAATTGCCGCAAACCGAGCACGTAGGCAACGTGAACTTTGACCTGAAAAGCTTCCTCTCCTCCGGTCTGTGTGTCTTTTCGTGTGTGTCCCGGTTGCGCAAGCAGCAGACAGCCTTATCCAAACAGGAGAGCGAGTGTTTGCTCCCATTGCCTCCGTCTCTCTCATCTGTGAATATTACCCACACTTCCTTTCTATCTTCACGTTCCCTCTCCTTTCAGCTCTCATTCGTTGATCCAGTCCTCAGCACCGTGTACTTGCTTTACAACTTTCCTATCTGCTTATGTATTTGTCTACTGTACATCCGTCTCTTTTCTAAATACAGCTCTTTCTGGTCCATACGTTCAGTCTTGCGTCATTTTTGTTAACCGGCTCATCCAAGCTTATGTTAAAAGGCCATTTATTGTGAAAATGAAAAACTTTTTTTAAATAATGGGGGGAAAAAAAATCATTAAAAAAAACAAATTTAGAGCCGCAAAGGAATTGCAACAAAACCACAACCGTCATGGCAAACATCTTTGATATCAAAGCATGACGGCACAAACATTTCACTCAACCCGGGTGCATCGTGTGCATTCATGGGGACGCTGCCACTTGCCTACACACATGTCTTGTTTAAAGTTACCCAACAACGTCAGACGCGTTACAGGTGTTCCTTTTCTTTGGTGTTCCTTTTCCGGTGGTTCTACTCCAATGTTTACCAAGTTACGTATGAATAATGAACCGCTCATGTCATTCTTGGTTCCCCGTGGGGACGACCATGTGGCGTGTCAGCTGCTGAAAGGCACGTGTGGGACTGGTAGAATTCACATTTCAGCTCATTCGTCCACACAGTAAAACGAACCTGTGGCTGAAGAATTCCAATATAATGATGCTTTTGGAAGATTTTATCCCATGCAAAAAAAAAAACAATGACCAATAATAACTGCCAACTTTCAATCAGCTAACAAAGCCACAGTGACAACTTGTAAAAGCCGGGCAAATTGCAGCCTGAATGCACTTGACGAGACCCGCCGCTGGGCTGACCTCGACATTCGAGCAGCTACCCGCGTGACGTTGTGAATATACACTGAACACGCGTGTGCGTCAGATGAACACACGTACTAAACGGAGTAAAATAGCACTGGGCCTTGAATGTCACATCTCATGCACTCTCCAGGCGGTTCGGATTGCCGATAGGTTTCTTAAGGACGCTGCACAGTTAAACATGACTTGTCCTGGTTCTCACACACACACACACACACACACACACACACACACACACACACACACACACACACACACACACACACACACACACACACACACACACACACACACACACACACGGTGGTTTTCCTGCTTGTAAGGAGCATGTGTAGGATCAGAGGAATGCAGGCTCTCCCTTGGCTCTTACCTCAGGCAACGCAAACCCTTTAAAAACACAAAGAAAACAAACCCACAGTTTCCACTCACTCATTAAACTTAATGCCCCACCTAATGCCCCGCACACAAGTCGGTGAACTTACGTTTTTATTGTTTGTTTACAGATGTTGTAATGGAAGATCCCACAGTTTCCTCACGCCACCACGTGTTTCATTGTATACAACAAGGGCCGGCAAACAACACATGTCTCTTTCTTCATAGCAGCAAGCACATTAGACTGTTTCCACATATTGGTAACAATAACTATTGCTGCCCTGTATGGTTCTTTTCAAGTAGAACAACACTGACTTGAAGCATTGAAGTGGCTGTGAGCTTAAAAAGGTCTGTGGCAATGTGCACCTGCGGTTCTCACCTGGAAAAGCACACAAGGAACGCACACAAAACACTTGCGAGCATTTAACAAACACAAAACGTACTCGCACAGCCCTGCCGCCGGGGCCAACGGCGTCGCGCTCTAGAAGCGCCGCGTTGCACAGACCCAAGCGGGGTCGGTGAAGTGACGCAGAGCGCAGCGTCATACCTGCTCCCCCGGGGCCATCCAAAGCAGAGGAGACATGAACGCACACGCACAGCAGGTTGTTTGACGTGCTGGGCGCCCACCTCAGCGAATAGGTTCACATTCTTCTTCTTCTTTTTTTTTTTAATGGTTTGAAAAGAGATTTGTCTTTGAAGTCAGCAAAAGTTATAAAAGGAAACATGTCGTACTGCCACAACTCACGGCTGTTCTGAACATTCATTCCCAAAGATGTGTTACCCTCGGCCTGCACTTTAGTCATCTGACCCCCTTTTAGCCAATTGGATCGCTCTTGTATTTAGGTACAAATACAAGGTTTGATAATAGCTTTCAAATGGATTGAGAGGGGCTGTTATAACCGCACACTGAAAGCTGCACAAAACGATGAAGTCAAAACATCATGCGACGTCTTTGTCTGTACGTGTAGAGAGCGAGAGACACATAAAGGGAGACACAGCCTGAATTACTTTTCCAACAGAGAGACCTGGCAGAAAATATAGGAGCCGACATTATTTGCTGGCTGCGACAGTCTGTATGTATAAACACGGCCGAGTGCTTTGGATGCTTGACTTTCTGAAGAGAAAAAAACAACAACAGAAGCTATAATCGCTTTCAAAAAAATAATAACCATTCTCGGTGTGTCTCACAATAGAAGCCTTTCTCTGTGTTTATGGTTGCAGAGGAAAGACTGAGCGACTGACTAGCCGACATGCAGCGCCAAGCGAACCCGCAGCTCCTTTCTGTCAAAAAGGAGAGAAAATCTGTCCAATATTTAACAAACAAGTGTGCTTTACTGTTTATTCCGGTCCGTCGGCTCCCCTGCTCGAGCTCTCTTTCTTCACGCCATAATGCCTACCTTTGAGCTCGCAGTTCTCCGACTCAACAACGCCGTTGAGTCATTCCACACATCAAGCAGGTCAGAGCCCATAATTACAGAACACTTGCCCACAAACGCTGCAGTCAATGAATGCTAATCAGAGGGAGTCCACGACCCCCGGCTGCTGGTATCAGGAGCAGCCCTCCGCATCATAGAAATCATTACGTAAACCGTTTGCCGTGAAAACATCAGTCGCAATTGATTTCTGGGAGGAAAAAAAACAAAACACAGTGCATATTATCATTAAGTGTCTCAATGGGCCACTTGCACTTGGAAAGAGCGGCGTGATGGATCCTGGAAAGGTGTTACACTATCATCTCTGTACAAACCAGTCGGTCAATATTGAGATTTTTCCACTTCTTCCTACATCAACGTTATTTTTTCCCCTCTATTGGGCGAGTTTCAACACCTGACACCACCTATAACAACAATTACAGTACCACAGAGTTGGTGCGCGAGCTTCAGGCTACAACTCAAGGCCTGTTTTTTCCCCCTGTGTTGTTTTACATTATTTGGCGATTTCTGCAGTTGAAGGAGCAACTTTTTCTCTGACTTCTCAGAAGATTTATCAAAGATCAATCAGCTCTCCCCTGTTGAAAGGACATAAAGGCACATGTACACTTACTTCTCTGGCAGTGGTTCTGCGACCAGCACCGGCTCCTGAAGTGTCCGTTGATGGTGTTCTGTGGGCAGGTGGTCTGACCTTGAGCCGTGCCGGGACACACATCTCCACACTCTCTGTCATTCTTATTATCCACGATGAAGTTGTCCTCCACTGAGTCCAGGACCTTGGACCAGTCCAGGGTGGCCAGGTAGCACAGGTCTGGGTTCTTCTCAATCCTCACAGCGCCCCGGGTGATATTCATGAGGCTGTGGAGGCCCACCTCCTTCAGCTGCAGCATCTCGTAAATCACAAGAGCGTAGTTGAAGAAGAGGTTGTTTCCGCGGATCACCGCCAGGTTGGGGAAGAGGTCGGTGAGGGCCTCCAGGCCGTAGACCCTGAACAGCAGCACGTAGTCGGTCACCACTTGCAGCCTCGGGTAGCTGAGGCCCCGGAAGTCCTCAGTCTTGGTCTTAAACATGAGCAGAATCTTCAGGTGGCCCTCGATGATGGTGCAGTTCTCCACCGACTGGAGGTTGGTCACATTGTTCCGGATGTCCTTACTCTGGCAGACTGGAGGGATTAAGAGGAAGGGAGATGTGAGGAACAATTATCGACTATAAAACAGTCTTTAAAAACAACTTGCCCCGGAAGTGTGATAATAGTTTATTACGGTTTTAGTAGGACGACACTCAATATTTATTATTATTTATTAGGAACACCTCCCTAGAACTAAGCGTCTATAGTGATTGTTTAGTGACAGATTTTTGTAATAGAGGAAGTGTGTTACTATGAGCACCATGTGTCATGTCGTTCCTTGACTTTGGCTCACAACAACAGGCCAAACCATAGACTGTGTATCTAAATCTTTAAATGAACGCAAGAGGAGCTTTCTATTTGCAATGGTATGAAAACAACCGGATATGAAATTCAACCTTCCCTTTGCCATTAAAGCCATGAAACCACTAGTGATCCGCGTTAAGTAGAGCAGAGCCATTCATGAAACCCTTCTCATTGAAGTCCCCTCTACAATCTGACTGACCTCAGGCGCTCTCTTTCTATCACACACACACACACACACACACACACACACACACACACACACACACACACACACATCCTCTGTCTTCTCATTGGCTCCAGCCTTATTTCTCTAGAGAGGAAATTACAGTACGGCACCGTCTGATCTGAATGAAGCAGACACGAAGGGGTTAACAGAAATGAAGCCTGGAAGCTAAATGCATATCCAGGCTCATTCATACTCTTTAGCTGCTGAACACTGGCACACGCACAGGCCCACGTTTGGACCAGCAAGTGCATGCACACACATACAAACACACACACACACACACACACACACACACTCAGCGTGTTAATGTGTGTGTGTAAGTTAGGAGATGTACAGAGAGAAAATAAATGCTGTTGTTGCTTACTGCAATTAATAAAATGCACATTTTATATGTCAAATAAGTCAAATAACAAATAAATAAAATAACGTGTGACTTTATAGAAGAATGCCTCATTGTTTAAACAGTGAATTTCTTTGATGATAAGACGGTACACGTGAAGTTTGAACAGCTTGTTAAGACGAGAGAAACATTTGCATTAATTCCGCGGTGTCGACACACCCACACTCAGCGAACACACTCACTAACCATAATGGTAGAGGCGAGACGGCCAATGGCGATTTAAAATTTAAGGATGAATGTACCGTATCAACCACACAACGAGCCATTACGGCCCAAAACAGATGGCTATGGTCAATAACCAACATGCAGAAAGATTGCATTTAAATGCAATCCGGTAATGGAACGTAAAAAGTGTTTCCACCTCGTGAAACAAAGACTTCTCTCAGTCATTTATTTGATTACAATACAAACACTGAGAGCGGGGGGGGGGCTGGCAGGAACATACGCATTAAAAAGCAGCCTGAGCTCATGCATGGAGGGTAAAATGAGCCTCTTATCATACGGGTGATCTATTGGTCTCTATTTGCTCTTCTGCTTTCAAATCAATGATACAGACACATACCTACTAATCACACTCGAGTGTTTTCCATGCGTGTTGGTGGTGTGAACCTCCGCTGCTCGCCACCTTTCTTAATATTCCTCATTTATAATGCTAAATCCTTCACTTCCCCTTTACACACACACACACACACACAAAATAATCAATGGCACTACAGCATCTTGAAACAGAAAAAAGTCCAAATCGATTGCAGTGGACTACTTGGTTCCATTGAGTTGTTATCGAGTGTCCTCATTTCCCAGGTGTAAGCTACCTATTAAATTCCCATTCTGTTAAAGGTCAGCGAGGCAAACATGTCAACAATCGAGGTACAAACTCTACGGTACGAACTGCTTCTAATGGATAAGAGTCAGGAAAGCCTCCAATCACTGCACTGCCAAATAAAACCGTGTTGTTTACTACGACTGCATGTTGGCAGTAGAGGTGAGTCAGCGCGTGAAAAGTCATTTACAAGATATTTGTAAAAGGTCACTTGTTTGTACCAAGGAAAAACATGTTTGCATGGATATTACGTTTTCAATTTGCCTTTTTCTGGTCTGAGGTATATTAGGTAACTATACAGGTATAGTTCCACATTATTTGGAGCTTGAGATTGTGTCCAATACGGTAACATTTAGAAAACGCTTCACAATGGACAATTGTGTTTAATCTAAAGCAGCATTTTAACTGAAGAAAATATACACATAATACTAAAAAAAGCGAATAACTTCTAATAGCTAGAAGGTATTAGTTATAAAACTAATAAGCTCCCCTGTACACAAGGGAAGCCATCCTGTTAATCATTCAGTTTGACCCCCAAACAGCACGCAGCCGCATGTATAACCGAACAAGTTCGTAATGTGTCACATGCCAACTGGAAGATCTGACCCTCACCTCGCCCACAACTGGACCAACTGCCCATAGCAATATGATAGCAGTCAAATGAAAGTGTATTATATTGTTGACAAGGAGCAAATATTACTCTGACGGTACATTTTTCACAAAATCAGGAAGAATCAACAGATCCATCCATTTATTGTCAGACGGCAACAAGTGGACACAATATCATTACTGGTGCCGAAAGGACTCCCGTCCGCAGAAAACAATCCGACGGCAGTTGTTTGGATACAAAATGTATCAGAAAGCACCCACGTAGCCAACGGCAGCTAAAATAGGACAATCTGATCATCTGATAAGGCCGGGTTAGAAACAACAGCTACTCATTCACACAAACTAGCAACGTCGTCCTGGCTGCACCCTCTTTATTAGACACACAGCGTGTCAGAAACCAAAACACAAAAACACTCTTCTTCCTGCGCGGCGTGTCAGCCGCTGTTATTCCCGGGTGATAAGAGCAACCTTACACACCACCCCTTATCTCCGGGACGCATCAAACGGGCCTGCAGGCCACCCACTCGCCGTCAGCCTGCAGAACTAACCGGATACCTATTGTGCAACGCGGCAGCATAACAAACCGCGTTACGCAACCACAGCGGGGGCCAGGGTGCAACCCACCTCTGCCCGCAACAATCTTCAAGGAAAACACAGAGAGGACACAAACATGACCTTTTCAGTTTAACGGGGTTTGGGGTGGGGGGAGGGGGGGGTAAAGGGAGAGATACGATACTGGAAATGCTCACAGACTCGCACACACAGCGCGTCGCGCCGGAGAAGCTTTGTTGACATAAAGAAATGTTATTGGGCCGTGAGGGGAAGCTGTACGCGGTCCCTCTGCAAAATGGAGTCTTGTTTTGGACTGATAGACATGGGGGGGTGGTGGTTTGTGTATGTATGTGTGTGTGTGAAGTTATTGGGTGGTGGGGGAGGAAAGGAGTGGAGGAAGGGTTACGTAGTCTGGGGTTGGCCGCATGAGCCACTGGGTCTTTAAAATAATGAGCTATCTCCTCCGAGATACCCTCCGGAGGAGGTGGAGGGAGGTGGAGGGGGGGGGCGGGGCACAGGAGCAGCGAAGAGCGCAAATAGGGAGATTGGGTCGAGGGGGATACGGGTCTTGGGGGAAAAGAAAAAAAGAAAAAAAAAAGGTTGGGGCCGTCGGGGTTAAGGGGGGCAGCGGGTTGATGGGAGGCAGCGGGATGAAAGTGTAACCTGAGCCCAGGCAGGAACGCGGGGTGACGAAAGGGACCTACAGGACGGTTGGTGATCACATGCATGAATGGAGGCCCGCTATTGACCAACTTTACATGCGAAGCGACCCAAACACACACACACACACACACACACACACACACACACACTTTTGCTACCTGTTGGCCATAATAACAACATTAAGCCTTCAGCATTACTCAAAATATTAAAACCAAGCTTCTGACTGGATGAACAACGTGAGACAGAAACAAAGACATTGAAGGAGACACCTGCTGCACAAT